ATTTTCGAATTGAATAAAGACACTATGCTTAGCTCGAGTGGGATAAGCATGATGTCTAACACTCACTCGATGGGGAACCCTGGATGTACATACTTAATCTCTGTATACCACATTTTGCTATAGTTATAACCAACATGATGTTATGTACTGCTGATTTGCTATAATGCTATCATCACACAACAAACAATACATTAATTTATTGCCAACAATCTTATAAACAGTTATTATTTTAATTACTACGATCTTGACGTCAGCAATATGTATGTCTTACTGCAATGACGTCGACGACAGTTTGCATTTGCATTACTGACATCTTGTTAACTAACTTATGCCGATAATTTACTTTAATGAACTCATTGTCATCATGTAGTTACAGTACTGCAAACTATTGCTTCAACATTACATACTGTATACGATCTACGTCATGGATATAATTTATGAAATTTATTTGAAATTAAAATTTACCTAGTGTACTGTACGCAATAAATGTATACATATGTGTCATGCGTTACAATTATGGCGTCATCAACAGCAGGTAAAAATGACCGAAATAACGTCACATTGTGTAGATAAAATGACAAATTTAGGCAAATTTTGCTGAAGTTCTAGAACCTAACATTACCATTGCTTAATAACACGTAAAAACCGTATTGGGAGAAAGGCCTGGGGCCGTATTCGTGAAAACGTTCTCATACTCAAACTTTGATTCTGTGTTCAATACCAGTTCCTGTCCCGGTGATACATGAATAATTTGAATGATTTAGGAGAAAGATTAATTGTTTAAGCACAGAATCCATGCTTGAGCATGAAAACGTTTCCTTGAATTCGGGTCCTGGACTTTCTCTAACATGGATATTGATAACACTAAAACAATTGTATATTTCTTTTTTTTTGACAGTTGTTTTGTTTTCTCTGTACATAATCTGTATAATTACAACATAAAACCATCTTATGTGTACACCAATAGGGTGACGATTTTCGTTATACACACATGGAAGAGATATGACACCATTTGTCTGCAAGTATCTTACATACATGTAACTCATATTCTAAGGGAAACAAATCTATAATAGTGTTATTATTCTGTTAAGGAATGTGTGAAGTGAAATTGACATGAACAGTATTTTAGGTGATAGACATAAACGTCACATGGGCAATATGCTAATAATCGTCACACCTCATTCATTCTCAATCATACATTTAATTAAATATAACAAAGATTCAAATAAACATGTATAACTGGCCCAGATATTATAAAATCTTCTTATACTTCAGTCAAAATTTAAAATATTGAAAATAAATAATATTTCTCTTAGAAATCAGTCAAAACTTTTTTATTTATTTACATTATGGACATGCGCATATAAATTGCGTAGCACACATTTTGATAGTTTTGGAACGAAAACAATAAATGAAAATTAGATAAAGCAAATTTAAAACTTTAACATATATTGAGAAAAACGCCATCACGGAACCAGGTGTATGATAAGGTACTTTATTATTTAATCTCGAGGGCGAATTACATGATAATGCATTATTGGAGTTTCCTTTCTGTTATAAGCAACAGTACCTGAAACGTAAATAGAATTTAGCAAATCAGTTCAACACAAATTTTGGCACTGACTGAATATCAGTTTGCTATAATATACGAAAAAACGTTATCAAAATATTAGAGTTAAAACCGTGTATATTGGAATAATGTTTCTTGTGTTCTCTCATATGTTACATGAAGTTTGTGATTTATTTTTCACCAATTGTTACATAAGGTCATTTAATGTGTCAAATTGTTTTCACTAATAATACGTAAGTAAGTAAATATTTATTTAGAAAATCGGTATGTAGATGCAGAAATTCGAAACAAGTAAGGATCCCCATACAACTGCCAAAACTGTAACTACACATTTGAAAGTATTTTGCTGGCATGATTACAGCTTTGTTAAGTCGTTGCTGACAAGAACACCATGGCCCTGTTGTTCGGATAGTGATTGGCTTAATCAGTGATTAGCGCAATTTTTTAATTTTATTTTGAGGTTACTTTTTAAACACAAGCATTCATGGAGTTAGAAATTTTCAGATAGAAAATATAACAGAAGAGTACATTACATGCAAAATTAAGAGGTTTTACTTTGTATATTGACCAAATTAGTAGAGGTTGAAATATGTCATTAAAAAGTGATTAAGCTAATCATCTTTTGAACAACTGGGCCAATATCTCAACGGAATTTTATGAAAGGGAAATAAATAAAAATGCAATTAACAAATTATTAACAGTAACGGTGTTCTAAGTGTGAAGATGGACTTCAAATTGTAGTACTAAGCTTTCTGGTCAACGGAAGTGTCCAGACTAAAAAGTGGTATAGTTTTAACCAACACTAAATGAAGAGGAGGTCACTGTTTATACGAAAAACCAAAGTGCAGTGGGACAGGATCTTGAACACTGCAATGCTCTTGTTGGTCATTTCGGCATTAAAACTTGTTCATTTGAATGAAGTTTTGAAAGGGGCACACAAAATAGTTTGAGTAGATTTGTTCAGAAAAATCGATGACCAGAATATATTCAGCCATACCTTCAGATTTGTGTAAACAATTGGATAAAACATACCAGCTGAACAATTAACATTAAAGGTATTATGGAAACACTTCCAGAAATACTTAGCACAGTATTGACGTCAGTAATGCTTCTAGCAAGTCACTCACTCCGATTCAACCCTTTACATCCAAAATACATGTAGCAAACAACTTGCTTGTTTTGACCAAAGCAAATGTTTTATTCCTTATTAAAACAAAGGTGAAGACGTAATCCAGGAAGAAAATAATAAATACACTTCGGTTATAACAGTTTAAAGTCATATTTGGCTAAAGCTATCTTTTTGGTTTGTTTCTACAATCAATCCTTTTTTTATTTATTACAACCGCTAATACCTCAATTATGAAGGTTATATTTTTGTTTTGCCAATGAACTGCATCAAAATGTATGATGTGTTTAAATAATTAAATTGATTGTTATAGCCTAAAAGTAGAGAAATGTGGGCTGATTACGATGTTTCCTATATTTTGGGGGAAAGTTAACAGTTGGCTAATTCATGATTTAAGAAATTTCTCTTCTTGAATAGATGGTCAATTATGTAAACAAAGAAAACTTCAAATACAGATACAGAAAAATTGTGGCATGATGCTTTTCATTTCACATAGATACTGTAAAATCATCTTTTGAAGTTCAAATGACAGAATCCTATCAACAATCGAATTCACATTCTTTGGGTTATTGCCAATTATTTTCCGGCAACGAACTGTTATATCTTAAAATTGACTCACTGTTCTTAATATTTGTTATCCTTTACCTGAAATACTTGCAAAATTCAGCAAAGGCTTTAACTTTGAAATTCCTGCATCATTTTGCAGATAAATGTATACAATGTACATGTACTGCAATTGCAAATGACAATGTCGACACAATTTTGCAGAACGACTAACAATATTTACTTTATTAGATCCTATCCTAATTTTGATCGATTGCAGTAATTTCTAAGATATTGAACATATCCTTTACTATAGCAATCGAATCAATTTGTGTCAAATTTATTAAAAACTCAATTAACTTACATTTGGTTCTATGCAGTAAATTGGAAATATTATATATTTTCCTTATGTGAAATGGATCGGAATGGATCTTGCCGGCACCAATAAGTCTAGCTTGACTGTAGTTTCACTATTTGCCGCTTTTCTTGAATAATAATTAAGTTCCGCAACATTGATTCGGGTTAAGGCAATATGACTATTCCATCCGTTACCCCATTTACTGTGGTATACAAATTGTATTCATATTGTAGGTGGACTCTAGGGACTCACTATGCAGTGCCTTCGTCAATTATGTCCTCTTGGAAACAGTAATTTTACACTTAGAAAGCAAACAGTAAATTACATTTTATATGCATTACTGCATGAACCATAAATAACTATTTTATTTTTTATGATTAGTTTCTTCAAAAAGCTGTTATTACTAAACAAATGCGATAGATATAACTATGTCTCCGTGCATGACCTCATTGCAAACATGGTTTTAAAAATCTGCGCATTTTGTTGAAGAGATGTACAAATATATTCATGTCATTACATCGAGTTATGAAACAGTTATTGTAATTATACATAAAATCAGGTTCGAAATGCATACACAAAACGTCTAAAGGCATATTTTTCGAATTATAGTTAGCCTGGTCGAAGAGAGTAACATGCATACATACAAATACTTTTTAGACCGAACACACTGTTTTTATTCTTGAAATATGTCATAAAAATATACAATTTTCGAATCATTGCCCCCCTAAATGACAGCTATCATAATTGTGTTGAAGCTTAACAATTAGGTAATTTTTGTTTTTATATTATTGTTTTAATTGTTTGCTTTTTCGTTTATAGCCCCTTTAAATTTTTTTGAAGTACATTTCCAACCAAACTGGACAAGGCATACTTCTATTTAGTGAACGCTCCGAGTAGTAATAGTTTTTTCAGATATTACAAACATAAAAACAAGATGACTATGATATACAATATGAAAAAGATAATTTCATAAATACATCACGTCAATAGGTTCTTTCGATCAAAATGTGACAGGCAGACAAAACTGAAAAGCTCTTTGTTGGAAAGATAACCTCCGCTGCTTCTATTCTTTACTTCGTTGTACAAATTGCATCAATATTTTTAATTGATTAAATCATTATATTGTTATTACCACTCGGAGTGCTTAGTAAAATGAGTTTTGTCGATTCATAATTGTTTGGCATTTATTTTTATTTACATACACTGTAGTATTCCGTCTTTGCGTATTGCAGAGTTATCTTCTCTTGAGAGCAGGTATTGATTGTTACGTCATTGGTTTGTGTAAAATAAATACGTCGTTTTCTCTAAAATTGATGACGTTACTCTCACAAACAAATGACGTAACAATCAATACCTGCTCTCAAGAGAAGATAACTCTGCAATACGCAAAGACGGAATAAGGTTTTCTAAGAAAAACCTATTTGATATCTATGTTTGAAGCGTTATTTTTAAAAAAAAGTAGAGAGTAGGGCGTTATTAGTAAACATTAAATGTTCTTATGACGTAGTCGATCTGCAAATATATGATCTCTTAAAACGCTTACATCCATGCATTCAGGTGTGTCATATGTGTCGGGTGACTAAGTGAAATTTACAAAATAAACAATGACAAAAAATGTAGAGGATGACTCGTGACTCTAACATGTTCAACTGAGACTGCGCAGGTTTGTACACGTATGGGATGTAGATGGATCTCTAAGCAAGGTCGTTCATTTCCCTACGGATCCATACTCTTTATCCTTCAACCTAATTAGCCATGTAAAATCATGGCTAGGCCAAGCAAGGACAACAGCATTCAAGTAAATAATGTATCACATGTTCCTAAAGTAGAAGAGTCATGATGACCTTGATTGATTCTGAAGTTTACATACGTAATTAAAGTATGAACCCATTTAAGTCCCACGTCATTGCCGGAATGAATATTAATATAGAGTATACGTCATATTGGGTATTTTCAAACATACAATAATCCACATTGTATGTTACCAAGACGACACTGTATAGTAAACAGTTCAGTTCCGGTCGGATTTAACTTTTCAACATCAAATTATATGACATTATTCTTGCTGATATTTTGGATTTGTGTTGACCAATAATGTGCGCATGTCAATCTTATGTAATTTTTCAAGACACATTGTGCAAACAAGATTGCAACATGTTCTCATCAAACCAAAAGAGGTTTTTTTTATCATCAAGCACAATTTAGAAGTTCAGTACAGTTTCCTCTGGTGAGCTTTTAAACCTTAATATCAGGAAAACCGCCTTCTCGAAGGAATTCCTTCAGACGTCCAATCCAACAAATCACGAAGTCCATCAAATTGGCTTTTTATCGCCACACGCTATAAGTCGCCGGTTCTTCCGACAAATCTTGCAAACATTACACTCTGAATTCCGTCCTTCTCGAATCGATGATTGAGATCCTCTTCAAGATACATAAACAGATGTGATAAAAATTGAGTGGTACTTTGTGACTTCATGGTGCTTTTACACACTTTAGTATACCTTTCATCCATCTCTGGAGAAGTTGCAGATGCATCCGTGATCAGACTTTACTTGTCTGGCATACAATGTAGTGTAGCCCTATCTCTAGTGATTTGTATTCTGAACCCAAATTTCCTATGGGATATCACTAGCATTTGCATGTCTGTCATGGGTTTGCAAACGCGCAAATATTTTGATGCCTCCTTTTAACTGACAAAATGACGAAGACAATTCAACCTTGATTGACTATCACTTATCCTTAATGAATGACGTCATCATTTGTCTCGTAGTGATGTCAAAGATTATGTTGTAATAGATGACGTCATATTTAGGTAATGATAGCTCATTTGGTCAGTAATGACAGCAGAATATTGTAAGTAGTCCTTTGTATCATAATCTGAGCTGCCAACTTTTAATAATGTACTGTAAAACTATGAGACACAATATTGTTCCGGTCGTTGATCGTAGTATAACTGCTACATCATGCACCCCCTGTTGCACGGTGTTTTCCACTCTGGTTGTTTGATTAAATGTTCCTGTAAATAAAAAATAAAAATAAAAGATTATTAGAAACAAACTGAACCTCAACAAATAAAAACATACTCATGGTACATACAGCTGCAGTTTTTATTCATTTGCTATCTACATTTACTTCACAATGTACGGATTCTGGGTACCAGTCACCATGTATGTGGTTACCGTAACAGTTAAGTTATCGTTGACAGGTAACAACATTACAATAACAGTTCCAATATCTTTTTCAGTTGCCATACAGTTTCTGCAACAGTTCCATGTATAAATCACTTAATATAACAGTTCTAGGTATTGCTCATTTGTAATTCAGATACTACATGTATGACATTTCTATGTATCATTTACATGTTATCTAATTACTTTCACTGGTTTACAGTAATTTATTTTTTGTTACAGTTAATTGTAATGTAAATATTCCAGTACCATTCGTTGGTGATATAATTACTACATATGTATATCAGTTCTTGGTATCAATATGTGATATCTACCATATCGTTACTATAACACGTCGTGGTACATTTTCTGGTAATGCAGTGAACAAAAAAGTTCTATGTACATGTATTGTTCAATTGAACCTCAGTAACTATGTTATACATGCATTATTAACAACTATAACAGGTCTGGGTATTTATTTATTTTAATATTTTACTTTTACCATACACTTATAGTTTTAGTATCACTGACGTGTTATACCATAACTATAACAGTTTTTTGTAACATTCTATTGGTATATGATATAACACAGCAATCATTTACTTTTTCGATAACTACTAATATCAGTTTCAGTGTTATTCACGTGTTATACAATAACTGTAACAAGGTGTAACTAGCTTCACGAATAGATGTTTTCAGCACGAAATGATTTGTCTACTAGAAGTGAATCGGTGTTCCTTCCTAATACCGCTTTTATATCCCAATCTTTTAACCCGGTGAATCAAGCTTCCTGGGCTTATTGTCAACCTTTTTGTCTGCAGGATTGAGCCGTATTGCATTCATTCCACTAATCACAAATCAATTACTTGATAGCTTAAAATGTTCATAGGAAAGTCAGTCGATAAGTGAAAGCCTGTCTTTGATTTTGTATACTACCCCCTACTACCCCATAAAGAAATAACCAATGTGTTAAGTGTTTCTAACTCGATTTCATTTAATCAGTGATGGAAGCAAAACAAATCAGTTGGTTTAAAACGCCCCAAAATAATGTCCACAACAGACGGTGCGTAACATGATTGACTGATCGAACTCTCCTTTCCATGTGGGCGTCGATTAATTCAGAGAGAATGATTATTTCTGTTTCAAAATAGCATTGCATACAATATGGCAAAGGCGTTAAAAGAAGCTAAGGCAGAAACTGGTAAAATGTGAACCTCTACATGAAAGATGAATTTCACTAGACACTATTTATTATAAGACACAGTTATTGGATGTTTTTTGCCTTGAGACTACTTGGGAATACAGCTGATATATTGGTTTGTTGTGCAAAGGGCTGCGCGAAACACTGGTTGGAATAAATCTTGATTTCAATAGCTAAAAAATAAAATTTGTTTTACTGTCTGCAAGATTTTTTTAACCTGCATTATTTCTTACTTTTTCCTCCTGGTGTTAACGACTGAAAGCTACGGCAGTTTCAGTATGAGTAGCGGTTCAATCTTTACTGAAAACTTCTGAATCGATATATCATTCTTAAAAACAGACTAATAGGCCGACCGATATCCGGGAAATATATTTCAATATCCACGCGTGAAATGTGTCAATATATCCAGTTAAGGATGAAGTGAGGTCAAATGTTTAGTTGGAGCATTATATTTATTTATCTGTTTATATAAAGGCATATTTTTAACTTCCTACTACATGTCTAGATTAAGGCTTCTCCATGTTTTACAGTATTATACATGCTAGCCTACCGTAGAGGACAGTCCAATTCTGATGCTGAGAGAAATCATTTTATCTTGCCCTGGACAGAGATATCCACACGATTTCAAGGGTGATTTATCCCTGTTTCACCATGGGTCTGAGACGAGATGTATCTCTAGTCAGAACAATTGTACGACGTCATTTTAAAAATGCCAAATTAATTGATCTGACGTCAGCAATGTATTGACTAAAATCAGCATTACGTTATGTATATATTACAGGGTCAACTGGGTAAGGAAATATAATCACATTATGATGATATGTGGAATCTCAATACGCTAGAAAAGATGATTAAGTTGCAAAACAATCAATTAGCCTTTGGCAAATTAAGGATATTTTCAACTCCAAAGCGATGCAAGTTTTTTTCCATGAGACCAGACAATAGAAAACATTCTGCACCAACAATAAAGTGACGTCACGATCGGAATGCAACATTTCCCTGCTGATTCGGGAAAATGACGAACTCGAAAACTAACCAACCAGCCTTCTGTGTTCACAGACCTTAGGGATAAAAGGTTTGAGAATTAAGCACTGTGCAAATGACGTTAAAAGACATTTCTTTGTAATGACTATTTTAGATATTTTAAAATAGCGTATTTATGACTCCAAGCCCCTTACAGTCGTGTTAAAATAAGTGTGTCATGTACCCCATAGGAAAAATGATTCGAATGCGATTTGAATTGCATTTGCCTAATTTATAATTGCTGATTTTCTTCTTGTGTTTCGTAGTATTGAGGAAAATGCGCTCGATCTTCTTAATTGTCGTGTATCCAGCAGATGCGGCCATACACAAATAAATGTAGGAAATTTTACTCTTATTTCTTATTTCGTAATTTGTGATAAGATTACAAGAATCGAAAATCTAAGATTTTTATGTGATTACCAGGACACTAGAAATACGTAAGCCGTCAACACCATCATCGTTAATATACCACAGGTTAAGTGGCACATATTGTTACTATTAGGGCGATGTAAGGTATGATTGAGTTTGACGCAGCACACCTTTATAGCCAGCTCATCTTTATTCAAATACTGTTACACAACAACTTGCCAAGCTGTATCCATGTTATAAAAAATCCTAATTCTACCTTCTATATATGGTTCATTAGTGATACGAATTGCTGACTTTTTTGTTTTTATCTTATGCATATAGTTATATGATAATAATTGTTGTCCTGACTTTTTTTTACCGAAGAGTCGCATTTCGAGCAAATGTACACAATTTGCAGAATATCTTATAATTGGTATCAAAATGCATATTATTGGTGTTTGATATGCTATGAAAAATTGTGATGGCTTGTCTTAATCACTGATGTTATGAACACCTATCGTTGGGAACACTGCATCAATAGGATTTGAGTTAGAATTGCTACACGTAGGGGGTCGTGGATAAACCAAAAGACGCTTACCCACCAGGTTATTATTTTCTTTAAACATTTTGAAGGTGTTTTTTTCCTTTTTCTTTTATCCTAGTTTCATCGAATTTGTTTTTCTTTTACGGTTTCGATAATACTTTTCTGTTCTTTTTACTCATTACTTGAGTTCCTATGACAAAATTTTGGTTATTGTAAAAGGGACATAGAAACGATAAATTGCATGTTGATTTGTGATAGCTTTGGATACTTCTTTTTCGACCATACTCTACATGTAGTTAGTTTCACTGGTTTGTTTAAGGGAAGTAGACAGTATGCCTTACAGTAAAGGTTGAAGTAAGATATTATAATATCGTTGGTAGAAACTATTTAAATGAATAATTGTACAAGATTAATAAAACAATGAAGTGATTAAAACGGATAAAAAGGTGCAGGAACAAAATATACTATGGTGGGGCTGTCTAGCGTCACTACCTACAACAAATGTAGGACCTATGAAAGGTTAAACAAGGAAAACAAAAACAATGAAAATAATAAATGAAAATGAATTGGAAAAAAAAAGTAAATAAGTCACGTAGTTATAACTATTTGCTATTTAATCGTCTATAAGATATTCATACAATGTATCTGTTATTGAGTTCCTTCGACATAATGATCCATTTTAACTGGGAGTAGTTTCACAAAACAAAATACTGTATTGTGTATGATGAAAAGAATGTGTGCTGAAGTAATTCGGGGTTCAAGATAACAGATACTTTAAAATGTCACACAATGATATCAGAACAGTCTACTACGTCCTCAGGTCCACATTCTAAATATTTTCCAGACAGTTCACCTTATTGATTGCCCAGGTCCCCGACCCTTTTGGGCGTATAGTTCAAATTAATCAGGACATTGCGTTATCCTTTGAACCTCCCGGGTGTTGTAGAAATTATATTGTGATGAGGTTTCCATCGGGAAGGTAGCGATCAGAAAGTCATGAAATTTCTTAATTTAAATTAGAAAAATAAATCCATGATGAAATCCAAGAAATAATTACTAGAAATACATCATGGATTGCCATCATTGTTGCTACAGTATGTTGTGTGTATTCCATGACATCTGCTTCTAATATTAGCAATGGCAGAATTGAGACGCTTTTTTTCAATCATGTAAAAACCCAGTTATGACGGCATGGTGACAGAAAGGCAGATTGTTCGGTAACTTGTTATTCAGTCATATAATCAACCAGCAATGACGGCCCGACGACAGGATGACAGATGTTTCATTGACGTTTTTCTGTCATATAAACAAAAATGATAAAACCTTTCAGATTTGGCTTTCAAAAGCTGATATCAAAGACAATTAGGTATTTCTTTATCCTAAGAACTCTTTTTTAGGCGAATTGTGAATTGGAGTTTTAGACAGGTGAGGACTTTAGCCGCAACTACTCTGTGATTACACTGTAGTCAATATATACTTACATTTACAGACGTTGGTTAGTATATTTGTTTTTTGAGTGCATATCAGTGACAATACGGCAAACTGAATATCATATTAGTGATAATACGCCTATCTAACGAATGAATCATATAATGTCTAATTACCCATCAGTAAACATTTGCCTAACTAACGTTCATGACATGCATAACTAAGGATTATATTCAATGGCAATGTGCCTTATTGTGTACATGTATATTAGTAACAATATCCCTAGCTACAAACATTGCACCTCA